ACTAATGCCAAGTTCGTTTAAGACACTTCGGCAAACGAGAGTCACTGAGGATCCGGTGTCAAACATACCTTCTATGAAGCCGGAACCCGCTTCATCACACCTGAAACGGACGGATATAAACCGTGTACCGGCGTTGCTGAAAGCGCCTCGAAGGATGTATGGACCCACCTGACCAGCCGAATCTCTGCGCTGTGACTGAGGTTGGGACGGGCAGTCCGCGGCAACATGCCCGCGGCCATTGCAATTATAACATCTCAGACCTTTTCCATAGGTTCTAGGGGTTTTACTGATGTCATAAGAGACATACCCCTTACCTTTGCCTTTGCCTTTACCTTTCCCTACTCGATGGCCCTTTGCGGCGTATCCTGAAGAGCCCTTTCCCCTAGGGGGGTAAGCCACAGCAGTGAAACCATCGGCTGTAACAGCCTTGCAGAGGTTCAATGCGTGCTCAATCATATTAGCTGGCTTGTTCTTCAGCTCTGATTGCCACTGTTGCCTCAATCCTGTCAACCCAGGGGTTGACGACGGTAGACCGCGCCAGAACTGGAGGCAAACGAAAAAATCGACGATCTTACTGCGCTCGACTCCTGAGACGGAGAAGTCACTGGGCAGGCATTGCTTGAAGAGTTTTTGCAACTCAGACATAAAATCTCCGCTAGATTCTCCCTCGGAGAGAGTTCGAGACACGGCAGTTTGCCATGTGGAAAAAATAGAAGGAGCATATCTGCTCAACAATACCTTCTTCGCTTGAGCATAAGCTTCGGGATCATTTTTGGCGAGTCGAACATTGTTGTCAACAATTTGGAAGGGTGCACCCTCTATGTTAACACGGAGAACATTATACTTAGTAGCTTCTGGCCATCCTAACAAACCATAAGTTTCCTCGAACTTGGATAAGAACTCCACAATATCCTGCGTTTTGTCGCCTTTGAAGGGGTCGATGATCTTGTAACTGCGAATACCATTGGTCACCTTGAGGGATGGTTGGGGTAGACTAGAAGTGATGTCACCAGAAGGAATAGGGTGAGATAGGGACTGCACTTGAACAGAGCTGGTAGAACTCACACCGGCAGAAGGTAGATTCTCCTGGGGATGATCAGCTTGGGCCTCGTGAGCTGCTTCCTCCTCGGTAGCTAGGGCGTTAAACTCGTCAAAGGTTAAGAACTCGGAGTCACCTGTCTCCTCAGAGTGGTCGGTAGTGGTGGGTCTGGGCACCATGTTGTACTACGACGCAACGTGAAGGAATAGGGAGAAAGTTGAGAGTAGCAATGAGCAATGTAATCTATTTGATAATAGCTATTACACCTAAA